GGGGTGGGGAGGCCAAGGCAGGTAGGTGAGAATTCTGTAACAGAGAAATAAAATATGAAAAAAGCAGATATTTCTTACTGTGCCAATGGAAGGTTTCTCCTTGCTGGCCTCTGTCAGTAACAAGCCTCCAGCTGTTTTCTCCTCAGCCTCAGCAACCTGTTTTTAGCATTTCATCCAAGACAGAGTATGTCATAGTTTTAAGGTCAGGTGAACTTTCAAAAGAAGGGAGTCTAAATAAAATTCTTGCAATAAAAAAAAGGCATTCTAGAAAAATATACACTGAAGCTTAAAATTGAAGTAGCAGGAAAATGGATAAGGTTATAGAAAGAGCTTAAGAGATGCTACTCAAAATGTCTTCAATATCGTATGTTATATTAAATATTTTCAATCATCCAACCAACCAAAAATGTACAAGGGCTATGACCAACCCTAGTCACGGTATCGGCCATCGATTCTGAGAGCTATGAGACACATCAATTAGGAGGGCGATGTGACCTAAAAGAAAATATTGAACATGACGAGAGATTCCAGTCATACTGCAGCATCACGGAATAATATCGACCGATTCAATGACAACAACTCGGCTTCTCGGAATTGACTCGAATACACTTCGGACAACTTGGCTGAGCTGTGTGAGACTCAAGGTTTATATGTATCGTGTAACGGTATCGTCACAAAAATTGTTGAGCCGGATACGACATGGCCAACTTATATTTGTATTGACTGGCACTTTGAACAGTGTTGAACAGTTCTATAGAGGGCAAAATTCTTAATGGAACCAACAGAGCTGAAATGGAAGTACCAAAAAGTAAACTGTAAGGGCTTACAAACCTTGATTAGAACTCTGTCATTCAAGGGCTTCATATCCTTAACATCATCCGTGTCAAGAATGCCAATAATGTCATCCTCCTTCAGTATGAGATGATTGGATTCATCAAACTCTACCTCAGTGCCAGTATACTTGGAGTACACTACCTGGGTACCAGTCTACACAGAGTAACATTCGGTCAGCAAATCTAATGATTGACAGAGGCATTGCAACTTAAACAGATTAAACCATACTAGTACCTTTATGCTGACATCCACCTTGTTCTTTCCAACTGTTCGACCTTCTCCAACAGCAACCACCTCACCTCCTTGAGGCTTTGTTTGTGCTGTTGTTGGCAGTAAGATACCACCTACAGTCTTCTCCTCAGCAATCTTAATTTTCACCAACACTCGGTCACCCAAGGGCTTAAGTGACGTGTACTGAAATCAAAAGAGCACCACAGAAAATGAACCAAAATATGTAAATGACATAAATCCACGAAACAAATACATTAACCCTCCCATTTATTGTTTTTGGAAGTAAGTTCAATACATCAAACCATAATACAACACTATGAAGATAACAAATTTAGAGAGGCTCCATTATTGCTAAGGGCATAGGTCTGAAATAGAAAGTCCCACAGAACAAAGACTTTGACCAATATCATTAAGCAACTGAAATGCAGCTAAGCCCAGGAACAGCATCACAAGAAGGAATGAAGTTGCAAAGTTACAATTGAGCAGAAAACAGTAAAGGTCCGAAACCAAATAGATTGCATAAAATGGGGGAAATGAGCGAATAATACAGATAAAGACCAGCAACTCAAAACTGAAAAATGGTAATGGATCCAAGATATAGTTTCCTTTCAATTGTAGCAAATGGCCTATAAATTAGACAATATCAGCATACAATGCCAATATAATCACTAAACCCTCACATTCCGACAAACAAAAAGAGAAACCAATGCACCACATCAAGATTGCTTCGGCAAGCCACTTTGAAAGCTTGATTATGAAGTCAAGAAACATGAGCACACAATATGAAATAGTTAAAAGGACCCTAAATCTTCGGAGAATACTCCTCTCTCTCTCTGACAACCCATTACGATTCAAATGCTATTACTCAACAAAAAAACTACACCAAGATAGCATCAACCCCAAACTAAGAAACCAATTCAATGTAAATAAATTGGTTGGAGGTTCGCTTCTTGGAATCCACATTAGAGATCTGATTGACCGCTATGCTGCCCTAGCTAGGTTTGTTCCCGGGCACGGTCGGGCGACTCATGATCCCACCAGTGAAGTGAAGGCCCATCGGAACTTCAGTCATCAGAATATGAAGAGATCCACATCAATAATAAATACAAGAGCACATAACGTTGTAGTGTGGATTACTACCTTAGGAGCAACAACAGTGGCAGCTCTGACGACGAGAGCATGGAAGGACCTTTGGGTGAGACAACCACCGGTTCTCAAAGGTGCAGCAGATAAGACCCTGACAGTTGATGGTCTTAGCCCTTCAAATGACGGCAAAATCTTAGCAGAAATTGTCGTTGCAGTTAACTGAGCTGTCGCCATTCCTAGTGTTAAAAGGAAGAAAAAAAAACAAAAACAAATTGGACCCAAAAACAGAAACACCTATCAGATTCAATGTTACAAAAGGATGATCCAGAGGTCCAATCTAAAAAATGAAAAGCCGAAATGAAAGAAGAACCACACACACACACACACACAACAATATTCAAAGCAAATAAAAAGGAAATAATTTAGTGACAAAGCTACCTTTGTGGGACTGAGAGAGATTTGGAGACTTATAGAGAATTTTTTTTTTTTTAATAGAACTTAGAGAGAAATTGAGGGAGCGGTAGATACAGAGAGTTTTAGCAACGAAGAACTGGATGGAGGAGGTACAGAGATAGATAATAAAACCCTAGGAAGTTCAATAGAGATGGGGGTTTTGCCAAATGCAAACAGATAAGACGATTCTAGAAGCTTTTCTCTTTTTTAATAGGATTAATCTCATTTTGTATTCTAAAAGATTATTCAAATTTTAATTTGTACCTCCAAATATCAAAAATCTTAATTTGTACCCTCAAAGATAGAATTTTGTATCAATGTGCATCCCCAAAGATAAAAAATCTCAATTTGCACCCTCAAAGATAAAAATTTGTATCAATGTGCACCTAAAATTAAATTGATAAATTATATCTAGATTCCCTCATGTTTGTCACTTNCACCCTCAAAGATAGAAATTTGTATCAATGTGCACCTAAAATTAAATTGATAAATTATATCTAGATTCCCTCATGTTTGTCACTTAATCATTTGAACTCCTTCATATTTAGAATATTCCTCTTACATTTCATGACGTTTGTGCATGTGTAACACATAATCACTTTTTGTTGATATCTGTTAATATAATCGTTAAAAAATATAATTTTATCCTAATAAAAAATTATAATTTCATATTATCTTTTATTTTGTGGATTCGATATACTCTAAAGTTGAAAATCAAGCTTACCATTTGAATGTTTAATAAAATATAGATATTTATATAAAATGTAATATGAAAAACATTATATAAATATTTATATTTTATTAGACATTCAAATGGTAAACTAGATTTTGAACTTTATAGTATATTGAACCTATAAAATAAAGGGTAATATGAAATTATAATTTTTTATTAGGATAAAATTATATTTTTTAACGGTTATATTAATAGATATCAATGAAAATGGGTTACGTGTTATACGTGCACAAATGTCATAAGATGTAGGAGTAATATTCTAAATGTGAAGAGGTCTAAATGATTAAAAGATAAGTATGAGGGGATCTAGGCATAATTTATCAATTTAATTTTAGGTGCACATTGATACAAATTTCTATCTTTGAGGGTGCAAATTGAGATTTTTTATCTTTGGGGTGCACATTGATATAAATTTTTATCTTTGAGGGTGCAAATTGAGATTTTTTGATCTTTGGGTGTGCACATTGATACAAATTTTTATCTTTAAGGGTATAAATTAAGATTTTTGATCTTTGAGGGTACAAATTAAAATTTGAACAATCTTTCGAGGTACAAAATAAAATTAACCCTTTTTAATATTTACGTTGCACCTAAAAAGATTGTAGATATTTTATTTTTTACCTTTTAAATATTAAAATTTTCATACTACATTCTCAATAAATTAAAAATATTATAATAAAACTCTTTTGTCAACTTCAATTACTCATTCCCTAAAGGGGCGTTTGGATGGTGGGTTAAAGGTGATTATCCACTAGTAGGATGGGATAAAATAAGAGTGAGATTCAGAAATTCCTTGTTTGAAAAGTCATTTTTTAGGTTGAATATAAATCTCGGGTCTAGCCTAGACTCGGTTGCTACAGTACTTTGTAACTTACCTACTAAGGTTAAAATTAACCCACCCCTTCCATGGGTTACAAACTCAGCCTACATGTTAACAAGAGATCAGACATATTTACCCCCTCATTTCTCGTTGTTTCACTCTCGTCCAAGCTTCACTGATGTCGTCAACAAGGGATTGTTGCATAGAGGCAACAAAGAAGACACGAATTCAAGCATCTCCGAATATTCTTCTCTTCGTCTTAAAGGATGATTTTTTTTTTTTTGAATATTGTTCATCTGTTGAACCCCATGCCCCAACCCATCTGATATTGTTCATCTGTTAAACCCCAAGCCCTAACCCATTGCTGAAAATGGTGTTGCTAGTATGAGTGAGAAATTCAAATGATTTTCGGTGAACAATAACAAAGAGATGGATTTGTTGGGTGATGAGAGAATAACTAGATTTATTGATGTAAAAGAGGAAAAATATGAAAGATTTTGGAAGTTGAGGGAATCAACTCGAAAGGCTTGACAGAAAATGGAGATTTGTAGAGAATGGTGGAATACCATCAAGCTCAACTTGAAAAGCTTGACAAAAATATGAAGGGATTTAATGGTGGTGGTGGGAGAGATGGAACAATGAATTTTGCTGGCAGTGGTGGTGGGTTTAATGGTGGTGGTGGGATGTATATGTGGAGATACAGACCATCAAGCAGATGGAAGGCTCTGGCTTCTGCATTTGATATGTCTGATAAAAAAGATGATTGAAGAATTAAACTTAAAACCCTTAAAATTTATTATTTAATTATTCAAACTCATGGTACGTGAAATATTGCACACATATTCCCTCCAGTTTATGCGCATAACACTTAAACCTCTTAAAATAAATATATTTATTATTAAATTACCCTTAAACCCCTTTAAAGTTTGTAGTAGGTATATAATACTCAAACCTCTTAAATTTAAAATATTATATGTAGACCAAAAATACGTCAATCAGAGATAAAATATCAATTATTATTTTACAATTAAAATTCATAGTCTATTGTATTATTTATTGAAATAAAATTAAAATTAAAATTTTAATTTTTTTCTTAAAAAATCATAATTAATATATAATTATACTATCTATTGAAATAAAACTAAAAAATTAAACAAGGGGTCTAAATCGTATATAATTTTTATATGTTTTAAAATATATGTGAAAAATGTATAATTTTATTAGGATAATCCGTTAATCCAAACTTAGGATAGGATTGGAATGGATAAAGTCATGAGTACAATGGTAAATTATTACAAAATTATTTGTATAATCTATAGGGCCCACTGAATTACATATTTGTTTCCCAAACAAAGGTGGGGATTAGATATATTGCAAGGTTAGAGTTTTAAAGTGGATGCGTGGGTTTAGCTTGGATGTTAGGATATAAAAAAAATAAATCCTACCCTATCCAACCCCATTACCCAAACACACCCTAAAACTTCACCTCATTTACGTCAAGGATGGGTCAAGGTAATTTGATGTCTAAAACAATAACACTAAATATTATTTTTTTATTTTTAAAAAAAATTATGTTATTTTTAATTTATTATATTAGAGAGAGAAAGAAGAACAATTTGCTAGTGTTATCGAAATTTTTTTTTTAACTTTTTTTTTGTTTTTTTATTAGAGAAAGAGTTTAATTTCAATTTTTTTATACATTTTTTTTTACTTATTTTTACACAAAGAGACTGTGTAGGGGTAAATATAAGTTGACTTCTAAGTACTTTTTATTTTTTCAAATTATGATTTTTAGGTTTTTAATGTTATTGATTGGATCATAGATCTAAATTATCACAATAAAAATTTTAATTATTTTTAATTTTTTGGGGCCTCTCTTTTTTATGGTTTTAAAATTTAATAGATTTAAATTTTTTCTGGGTTAATAAGTACCTAAAATTATGGATTCTTCTACAAATTTGGGACCTAAAACTCAAGTTTTTTTTTTAATATCATTGAGCCGCCCTTAATTTACGTTGACACAATAAACAACAAAAACTACGGAATGATTATATTACAACACTTTTAATATAGTAAGAGTATAATATAAAAATTTTAATTTTTAAGTGTACAAAATAAAAATTATTAAAGTTTTTAAGGTATAAAATATAATTTATCCCTTACTTTTACTTTCTTTCCAAAGTGCCGACGGAGGTTCCGAGGTTTGCATTTTATCCATCCATGCCTACACGAAATATTAAAAATTACATAAGGTTTAACTAAACGATTAATTAGTACTGCGAGTAAAAAGTAAATGTTTTAAGATTTTATGGTAAAAACGTAAATAACATGATAGGAATTAACACCTCTACGTGGAGACTGGAGAGTGAGCTACCTACGTCACCACGCTCGGGGCTTTTCTGGATTACCTGTATTTATAGTGAAAATTGTCCCCTCCGTCTTCTTGAATGGATTTATAATGGTTTAAGTTCATAAAATAAATTTATTTTGTGATAAATTTATTTTTTATCTTACTAATAAATACATAATTTTTTTTAAATATCAAAAATATCCTTAACAATATTATTCTGTTCAATTATAGAAACCTTAAAAATCTTGAAAATAATTTTAAATTATTTTTTTAAATTAAAAATTATTATCACTTAATTTACTCCTAAATTAAAATTAAAATTCATATTCTATCTCTATCTTATTAGAAGAAGATTATCATTCTAGCACATCACTTTTTTTTCTTTAGACATCATTTCCTCCTCCATAGTATCAAAATCAGTAGAGTTTAGAATATCATTAACAATTATCGTATCTTTTACTACAGATTGGTCATCATAAACTTCTATGTTGTTGGTTTTCAAAAAAAAAATTTGAAAAACTTACTCCATATATTATTAGTTTGATCCATAATTTTTATTTTTATTTTTTTAATAAATAATCTGTAAATTTTTTCAATGTTTCATGTTACTACGTTTTTTATTGACCATGTTGCTATTTTTTCTAACTAGCAATGCACTCTGTGCGTTGCACGTGAATAATTTTTTTTTAAAAAAATTAATAAATATATATTTGGTATATATGCACCTGAATTAAATATCATCTCAAATTTATCAAATTTATTTTTTCATCTCTCGTGCTCCACTATAGAAATTTTGAAAACAATGTACGTGTTCAAGATTTGTTATTCTAACTTTGAGAAAAATGATAAAAAAAAATAATAATAATTAAAGTTCTTTT